GGGGAGCCAATACTCACTGGGGCCATGGCAGCTGTGCAAAATGCAGGGCTCATGTTGCCAATTTTTCAAGAGAAGCCAGAAATTCATGTTATGGAAAACCTTCTGATTTATAAATGTGGGCAACTAGTTTAAACAATTTTTTAAAATTCTGTAACCTCTCCAGAATCTAGACCTATAAGTCTGTTTCTGAGTTGGAAGGGAACTTAGAGTATGCCAAGTTCAAAACCTCATTTTACAGCTGGAGAAAGCGAACCCCAAAGTGGACAAATGATTTTCCGAGGGGCAAGTAGCTAATTCAGCAGTAGAGTCAGATCTAGAAAGAACACCTGCTTTCTGTCTCCTGCATCACTTTTCCTTCCATGAATGAGAAGAAGGTTAACGGCTTTCAGCCTAGTTTGCAAAGTGAGAGGACACAAGTCTGGCTTACAGAGCACCCAGAACATCATCAATTCACCATTCTACTTTTTTACTCTCTCTGGCTTCTGGACAGTATATAGGAGGCACTCTGCTATTATATGAGGCAACGGACAGAACACTTCTGTCCTCAATTGATTTTCCCTTCACCTGGAGCCTGTCACTGCTGTACGGCTCTGCTACATGAAAGGAGGGACTAGTGTGGCCTGTTGGGGAAGGGGATCGGGACGACGGTCAACCGTCCAAGACAAGCAAGGCTCACTCGGCAGAAGATGAAGTACAAAACTTACATTCGCAGAACACTCCCATTAACCTCAGTGGGAGCTGTGCTTACGGGAACTGCAGGATCAGCAGTTGAACAGAGACTGGAATGAAGCAGTAAAGCTCAAGTCATGGGTTATTATTAGGATTGTCTACTTCCAGCTTCATATTTACAAAAGAGTTCATTCTGACTATCTAGTGAGACCTCCCTCTGCTGACTCTTAGGGCAGGGTCTACAAAAGAAACCCTGTTTAGATCCAAATTGTGGCATGTGTACAACTGAAGAAACTTGGCAAAGCACAGAAGTGAGGACAGGTACCAACAAAGTTCAGAAAATATGCCTGGCTGTTTTTATCCTGTTGGCCCCTGGGGTGCATAATATTCCATTGTTAGCAATCCAGGCCTAGGATGGTGCCTGGTACACAGTAGATACATAGTTAATATTTAGTGACTTAATGAAAATGTCGACTGAAAGAGAAATACACAATGTAAGAGTTGTGAGTTGAGTTTTACTCAGGGTCTTACTGAGGACTCTAGCCTGGGAATCAGCCTCTTGGTAGCTCTGGGGGGACTGCTCTAAAGAGCTAGGGGGAGAATCCAGTGTAAAGATGATTTTCTCTGGGGAATATGTGTAATCAAGCATACATCTCAGTGAAAGGTTACTGCTAGTCACGAGGAACAGGTATCTCAGTTAATCATTTTAGTGCTTTTCTATGTATGTAAAGATGTAAGAATCTGGGTTCATAAAAATTTTTCTTGAGATATATCTACCCATCTAAGGGACCTGTTTTTCCAAAGCACAGAGTGCTTCATCCTGTTTTTCGTCCTGAATTCCTTTCAGGGTGTACTGTCCTCAGTGGCAGCAGTAGCTAAAGACTTAATCTTTGCAGAACCTGACAGCAAGCAACATTCTTTGTTTCACAAAGAAACAGATAGATAGGTTCATATTTCTTGCTGAACTCATGTAATAGGTCTTCCAACCTAATAAGGTTGGGAGCCATCAGAAGAAAGGCCAAGAATCAGTTAAGAGGAGAGGGTTCTGCTGCTGTCTTGGCATGACCTTTAAAGCCATGTGTGCCTTAAGGGGTGTGGGGGTAGGGGTCCTGTTTAGGCTACTGCTGTGCCTCCCCCAGCAGGTAAAAGCTGAAAAGCCTCTGAAGGCTTCCGTGATTTTTAATAAATCCTCCCCCTGCGATAATGAAGCACTGAAAATACTGTATTTGATACAATAATCAATTAAGAGAAAATCTGCTCCTTTAACTCTTTAAGTCCAATATCTTTTGAAAAAGTTTTGTGGCGAGGGAAGAATTAGGCCCCTGTTTCTATGGCACTGCTGTTAGTAAATATGTTAAAACGTATTAAATGATTGCAGAAGGTTGACAAGTATATAATCTAGGTGGTGGGTAAATGGGTCATCACTATAATTCTTTAAACTTTTCTGTATATTTGAAAATGGTTCTAATAAAATGTTGGAGGTAAAGCTGCCCGCTGTCAAAAGACCTACAGGCAGCTTCATAAACCACGTCCTGGCAGAAAAAGAAGCATTGGTCTTTAGCTGGTCCTGACATCACATGCTCGCAGCAACCATGTATCAGTAGATCTAAACTAATAATAATCTAAACCATGTGCCACGCGCTCTTTCAGAGAACTTCATACAGATGAAACGAAGGCACAGAGATGTTAAATTATTTTCTCAAGGCCAAAATGCTAAATGGCAGAGTTAAGAGGGAAAAAACTAAAATGTTTGGCATCAGCTTTTTGCTCTTAATCATCATTCCATACTGCCTCTCACTCTCACAAGGATCAAATATTCCTAGTTGTCTATTTCACCTATTTTTGAATATTTAAGTAACTGTTTATGGCATTTCTCTGGGTAAAACATATCTACTTTAATTTTATATTGTCTAATATATATCTTTTCTAGATTCCAGATCAAATACAATTCTTCAAATGTATATATATATTTTGTTGTTGTTGTTTGTTTTTTGTTTTTTTGTTTTTTTGCGGTACACGGGCCTCTCACTGTTGTGGCCTCTCCCATTGCGGAGCACAGGCTCCGGACGCGCAGGCTCAGCGGCCATGGCTCACGGGCCCAGCCGCTCCGCGGCATGTGGGATCTTCCTGGACCGGGGCACGAACCCGTGTCCCCTGCATCGGCAGGCGGACTCTCAACCACTGCGCCACCAGGGAAGCCCAAAATGTATATTTTTAATAAATGAAAATAATGTATAAAGTATGTTATTCTTTTTTTTAATTTTTATTTATTTTATTTATTTATTTTTGACTGCATTGGGTCTTCATTGCTGGGCGCAGGCTTTCTCTAGCTGTGGTGAGTGGGGGCTACTCTTCATTGTGCTGCACGGGCTTCTCATTGTGGTGGCTTCTCTTGTTGTGCAGCATGGGCTCTAGGTACACCTGCTTCAGTAGTTGTGGCACACGGGCTCAGTAGTTGTGGCTTGTGGGCTGTAGAGCCCAGGCTCAGTGGTTATGGCGCATGGGCTTAGTTGCTCCGCGGCATGTGGGATCTTCCCGGACCAGGGCTCGAACCCGTGTCCCCTGCATTGGCAGGCGGATTCTTAACCACTGAGCCACCAGGTAAGCCCTAAAGTATGTTATTCTTAGGAAAAGAACAATGTGAATTTCTAGACCAATATCATCACTCAACATCTTTTGGGGGAACTGAGAAGTTGAGAATGACAAGCTAAGGCTAATACCTCTTCCTCATAAATTTTGAAAAGCCTAATAAACCAAATAACCAGAACACTCTTTCTTTTCATCTTTTCCCCTCGCAGGACCATCGAGCATTCATGAATAGTAAAGTATGCCTAATCCCAGCTGTACCATTCTAACTAATGCTGTCACTGAAGTAGGTTATGTTGGGTAGATATTGAACTCTAGAACCAAGAAAGCACTGTTTAGAATCAAGGTCACACAGATGAATCGGGCTTAAAAGATACCATCTGCCCTTTCCTCACTTTGTAGTAATAAGTTAGGGTCTATAGCTGAACCCACTCAGAAATCTGAGAATTTCTCCATTTTGAACAGCTTTGTTAAAAGAGGGGTCTGTCCTGTAAAATTCATTCCAATGTTTTACAAGACCTCTTGTATTCCCATACCTCTAATGAAAAAATTTCTTGGGTCATGCCAATTTCCCCTTTTTTTTTTTTGGCTGTGCCATGTGGCACGTGGGATCTTAGTTCCCCAACCAGGGGTGGAACCCACGCCCCCTGCATTGGAAGAGCGGAGTCTTAACCACTGGACCGCCAGGGAAGTCCCTCCCCTCTTATTCTTTTTGCACTGAGCTCTGAGCGACTAGTTGAGATTTTCTTATTAAAATTCTTCATTGCTTAAAGGCTGTTATTTAAAAACTGAACTATCAGCTCCCGATGACAAGGACCATGGCTTATATATGACTTACACTTTCTGTGCCCCTGACAAAGTCTTCAGGTACAACTGGTCTTCAATATATTTACTCACTCTTGAACCTTCCCTTAATGCTCTTAATTTCTAATGATATAACCATCCTTGAAATATTCCTCAATCTTCTTCTTTAACTATGGAAACTAGAACTAAATTTAATACTTTCCTAAAAGTTTAACCAGGGCAGCTTATAAAGGAAAAGAAAACCTACCATTTTTACATCTCCTAGCTTGTCTTTTAAAAATTATCAAACTTGGGCTTCCCTGGTGGCGCAGTGGTTGAGAGTCCGCCTGCCGATGCAGGGGACGCGGGTTCGTGCCCCGGTCCGGGAAGATCCCACGTGCCGCGGAGCGGCTAGGCCCGTGAGCCATGGCCGCTGAGCCTGCGCGTCCGGAGCCTGTGCTCTGCGGCGGGAGAGGCCACAAAGGTGAGAGGCCCGCGTACTGCAAAAAAAAAAAAATTATCAAACTCTTTTCCTGATCCGGTTAAGATTTACTGCAGATGGTCATTATTTTGTCACACATTAGGGTAAACTGAGGTCAAAAAATGATTACCTGTTTGTTTTCTTCATTCAACTGCACATTAAAAAGAAGAAAAAAAATTGTTTGATTTAAAAGACCAATTACCTCAAGAGCACTCCTACCAAATTTGATTTGGCAATCTTTTGGCATGATTAGCATGAGTTCAGTAGGAGCCCTGTTTAATGAAAAAACATGGTGAAAAGTCCAAAAGGTGCTATGCAGGTCAGAAGGAAGATGTTCTCCCTGAGGCCCTTGGCCAACTGTTATTTCTGAAGCCTTTCTTGCCCATCAGCCAAGCTTTCAGACTGCTTCTCAGTTCCATTTCTTGCCACTAGGTGGCACCAGACTCAGTTAAGAGGAAAAACTGCTTAACTAGTCTTTAGATGATTTTGCTGTGAACCTTTAATTAATACTTTGTAAAAATAATTCATTAATTTTTATCTAAAATACGGTGGAGTTTTGCCTTTTATTCTTTCTTGTGGTATGGGCTGTGGGGAAGAGCAGGTTAAGACGTGTAACTCATTCTTGCACCTCCTGCCCACTGCCTTCTGGTCAGCTGTTGTTTTAGCAGCACTTCTCTGTGGCTCAGCAGCCACTGGCAGCTTCAGGGGGACTTCTGGACTTCGCACTGTCAGAGCCTTCTGCAAGCTTGAATGGATCTTTGATTATATCCTGTCAAAAGACAAACCAAAATGAAACGACAAGTTAAAGGTGTTTCAACAGACCCAAACACAAACATTTCAGTTGGACTTAGGTTGATTTACCTAGAAGGAGGATAAAATTTTACAATTCTGTGAGGTCCTGGGAGTAGCATCAGTCACTAACTTATAAAGGTAGCTGTCTTTTCCTGAAGTTTCTAATCAAGTTATCACTACTTTCAAGGTAAACTTCATTTACAGCTTTGGAAAGGTGTTCCCTTTGGGGCCAAGAGAGTTGATTCTGCTTTGTTTCGTTTTGTGGGATTCCCATTTGTTTGTGCCTTTTACCTTTTTGGAACTGAGCTACTGAAATGCTGAAACTTCTCCCCTTCTCTTACTCTAATCTCTAGAAATGTGTTCAAGAGAAGGAGGTAAGACCCAGATACCAGGACCCTCATTAGCAGTTGCTGATGTTCAGATGTTGAGATTGCCAACCAAAACCAGCAAGATTTCAGGGCAGAGTAAGTGGAATTTTCAAAAGATAAGACGGCACTCTTTATTTTTCCTCCTTTCATCTTCAAATGAGATACCTCCACCAGCAGTGCCAAGGGGGTCAGAGAAAAACCAGGCAAAAAGGTTGGAAGTCAAGAATATGAACAAGCCACCTTAAATAATGAAGGTGAATTCATTAAACATGAATTTACACTCATTATTTATTGGTGGTCACTGCAAATAGAAGGGTGTACAAGTGATATCAATATCACTTCCAAATGCATGCTTTCAGCCCCAAAAGCTCTCAAGACCTGAAAGAAATAAAAGGTGGGACAACTTGACAAGCAGTCCTTTCCAGCACCAACATCTTGTGCTTCTATGAACAGTATAGATACGGAGAGGTAGTGCAGCATACTGGTTAAGAATGTCAGCTCTAGAATCAGATGTGGGTTCAGATTCACTGCTTTCTAGCTGCGTGACCTTGGATTAGCAAATTAATCTCTCTGAGCCTGTTTCTTCATCTGTAAAATGAAGATAAGGGGTATTGTGAAGAGTAAATGATGTGGTGCCTTCAACATATTAACTGTTCGATAAAGGCTAGGTCCTCTAAACTATTACTACTGTTGTCATGTGATTACTACCACGGCTGTTAACTGGAGCAAGACAGTACATAGCACACCTCCTATTTGCATCATTTCAGATGCTGCAGTGTTTTAATAACATAATTCTTTTAAATAGCAAAATACATTTTCCTTCTCAGGATTAAAAAAGGAGGAGGAGGAGAAGAAGAAAAAAAGAAGAGCTCTCAAAAACAGTCATTATCGAGTCAACCCTCAGTAAAAAGCAGTACTTTCATTCCTCTATTGCAGTAACTGATAGTAAAACAGAAATACAAGCAATTCCCTACATGCCGCCTGCTTACGGTACTCAGGAATCTATCATTAAGGTCCTCCATAAAAAAGATAAGAATGTCCTCCCCCGAGAGCACAAGGTTATATTTCTAGGACACACAGTTGTTTCATTCTCTAAATCTTCCTTCAGTGTCAATTATTCCCATTTCAGAAACGTGGAGCTGATGGCAAGACAATGGCACAACCATAGGCTGAAAGAAATAAGCTAGGACAGATGGGAGATTGTTATGATAAACCAGTTCAAACACGTAGAATGTTGCATTCCAGCCTGAGGTCAAGAACCCTCCTGCACATGAGGTGCTGCTAGCTAGGAGAGCTATGCTAGTAGAAAATCATCTCCCGCAGACGCAAACTCATTTAACTGCAGTTTCCCAGCCGGAGTGCAGTGGAAGTGCTTTGGCTGGGGAAAAGACTCCCTTTACTTGTAACTAATTTTCTGACAGCTTTCAGAGCCAGGATTCAGGAAACCAGGTACAGGAGAATTAGAATGATGAAAATATTTCAAGATAAACATTGATTCTGACCAGCAAGATTTTGTTATCAGTGAAATACCAAGAATTTCAAAAGACCAATAACACATTCATGAAATGTAATGGACTGAAAAGTCAGAATTCAAGTTTTTTCTACTTTCCCCCCAAAAGTTACCTCCTTAGAAACACAGAAGAGTTGACAATAGCAGAGTGCTCAAGAACTGAATAAAGCAAAGAAAGAAAATCACTCTTTACCTCTAGAGGTGGCTTCTACACTTAGCTTAGACTTGATTCATGCTGGTAATAGTGGCCAAACAAGAACATACCAGGTTTTTTTTGGCCCCAGGATTCTTGTCTCCAACTGAACTTCCTCAACCACAAATTTACCATTTTGGAGAGTGATCTGGCTTGCAGGATCTCAGTTCCCCAACCAGGGATTGAACGTGGGCCACGGCAGTGAAAGCCTGGAATCCTAACCACTAGGCCTCTAGGGAATTCCCAATAAGCTTTACTCTTAAAGTGAGAGAGTGGCATGGACATATTCACACTACCAAACGTAAAACAGATAGCTAGTGGGAAGCAGCCGCATAGCACAGGGAGATCAGCTCCGTGCTTTGTGACCACCTAGAGGGGTGGGATGGGGGGGGGGGGGGGGGGGAGGGAGACGCAAGAGGGAAGAGATGTGGGGATATATGTATATGTATAACTGATTCACTTTGTTATAAAGCAGAAACTAACACACCATTGTAAAGCAATTATACTCCAATAAAGATGTTAAAAAAAAAAAAAAAGACTACTTGGGAATTCCCTGGAGGTCCACTGGTTAGGACTCGGCACTTTCACTGCCAGGGCCCCGGCTTCAGTCCCTGGTTGGGGAACTTAAGATCCCACAAGCTGCCCAGTGTGGCCAAAAAAAAAAAAAAAAGACTGCTTGTGAGGTAACAAAAGGGGAGGGAGGAAAAGGCACAAGAGTTACTTGTGTATCAATGTGTGCCCCATGTATCCAAAATTTCTATGAAATATAAACAGCAGAAAGTAAAATTCATGGAGAAAAGATTACAGAAATTCTGAGCTCAGGAGAAAGGGTTTATGAGAGAATGATAAAAGAATCCTGCAAAGATGGTCAGAACTCAAATACGTAGAACACGGTTCCAAGAGACTGAGAATATTAACAAATACAAGTCCATAACCATAACCACCTCTATTTCTTAAGTATGTATTATTTGCCAGGCATTGGCCAACATTTACATGTATCATTCCATTTGATTCTCACAACCTGAGGAAAAAAGGGATTATTACCTCCCCATTACACATGAGGAAACTGAGGGTTTAGGGAGGTTAGGTAAGGTATCCGAGATCACACATAATTGGCAGAGCCAAGATCTGAACCTAGTCTATCTGACTCCAAGACCTGTGTACTTAAACCCCATGCTGTGCCACCACCCTGCCCCAGCAAGATCAGTAACTTATTTCCCTGGGCTTCCAACATCCAGTGCCTTGAGGTGCATCACTGTAATGACTTTGGTGAATGTTAGAAGTTCTGTCAGAGGAGCTTCCCTGGTGGTGCAGTGGTTAAGAATCCACTTGCCAATGCAGGGGACACGGATTCAAGCCCTGGTCCAGGAAGACCCCACATGCCACGGAGCAACTAAGCCCGTGTGCCACAACTACTGAGCCTGCGCTCTAGAGCCTGCAAGCCACAACTACTGAAGCCCACGTGCCTAGAGCCCACACTCCGCAACAAGAGAAGCCACCGCAATGAGAAGCCCACGCACCGCAATGAAGAGTAGCCCCCACTCACCGCAACTAGAGAAAGCACGGGTGCAGCAACGAAGACCCAACAGAACCAAAAATAAATAAAAAAAATTTTTTAAAAAAGGAAGTTCTATCAGACAAAAGAGACTTGAAATCCATCACTAAGCCCGTTCTAAATAATAAAATACTATAAAATAATGAATGGATTAATAAAATAATTATGATAGCATGAATGGGGAAAAGGTAAAAATAAATAAGAGGAAGAGAGATGCTAATATCTGTTAAAACTACCTATCTGCCTTCCTCACAGGGAAGTTGTGAGAGATGACCTGAGATAAATTGTGATAAAATGCTTTAAAAAATGCTACACCAGGGCTTCCCTGGTGGCGCAGTGGTTGAGAGTCCGCCTGCCAATGCAGGGGACATGGGTTCGTGCCCCAGTCTGGGAAGATCCCACATGCCGCAGAGCGGCTAGGCCCGTGAGCCATGGCCACTGAGCCTGCGCGTCCGGAGCCTGTGCTCCGCAACAGGAGAGGCCACAACAGTGAGAGGCCCGCGTACCGCCAAAACAAAAAAAATTGCTACACCAGTATTTCAGTTACTAGAATAATTCTAAATAGGAATCTAAGACATTTTAGAAAATATTCATTTTTGAATATGCTGGAATACTGGCTCAAATATACATTTAAGAAATTAGATATGATAGAAATTATCATTCCAAAACAGCAGAGAAATGAATTAATAAATAGGAAAATTTGACTAGCTAATATTCAGAAAAATAGCGACACTCTACCTGAATATTTATGTTAAAATAAATTCCAAGGACTTCCCTGGTGGTCCAGTGGTAAAGAATCCACCTTCCAATGCAGGGGATACAGGTTCGATCCCTGGTCAGGGAACTAAGATTCCACATGCCGTGGGGCAACTAAGCCCACGTACCTCAACTAGAGAGCCTGCGTGCTGCAAACTACAGAGCCCATGTGCTCTCGAGCCTGTGCGCCACAACAAGAGAGAGAAAACCCACACGTCACAACTAGAGAGAAAAAACCCAAACGCCACAACTACAGAGGAGCCAGCACGCCATAACGAGAAGCCCAGGTGCCGCAAGGAATATCCCGCATGCTGCAACTAAGACCTGAGACAGCCAAAAATAAAAAGTAAATGAATAAATTAATTTAAAAAAAGGAAAGGAAAAGAGGAATTTAGCATTAAAAAAAATAAATTCCAGATGGAGTAAAAATTTAAATGTGAAAAACAAACCATGGAAGTACTAAAAGAATCTTCATGACCTTGGATTAAGTAATAGATTCTTAGCGATGATACCCAAAGCACGAGCAAAGAAAAACTAACTGGACTTCATCAAAATAAAACCTTTTATGTATCAAAAGACACTATCAAGAGAATAAAAAGATAACACACAGAATGGGAGACGATTTTGCAAATCATGTACGTGATAAGGGTCTAGTATCCAGAATATATAAAGAACTCTTACAACTCTGCAATAAAAAGACAAACTACCCAATTTAAAAACAGGCAAAGGACAAGACAGTTCTTCAGAGAAAATATACAAATGGTCAAGAAATTATACAGTCAACAAGCACATGAGAAGATGCTTAACATCATTTGTCATTAGGGAAATGCAAATCAAAACCACAGTGAGGTACCACTTCACACTAAGATGGCTACAATCAAAACAGAACAGAAAATAACAAGTGTTGGCAAGGATGGAGAGAAACTGGAACCCTTGTACACTGCTGGTAGGAATGTAAAATGGTGCAGCCACTGTAGAACACTGTTTGGTGGCTTTCCAAAAAGTTAAATGGAGAATTACCATATGACCCAACAATTCCACTCCTAGATATAGACCAAAAGAATTGAAAATAACTACTCAAACAAGTACATGAAACACATACACAGGCATGTTCACAGCAACACTACTCACAATAGCCAAAAAGTGGAAACAACCTAAATGTCTATCAACTGATGAATGGATAAAAAAAAAAAAATGAGGTCTATCCTCATTTTTAGTCCCTAATACAAGGGACTACTGTTCAGCCATAAAAAGGAATGAAATACCGCTATATGGATAAACCTTTAAAACATTATATTAAGTAAAAGAAGCCAGACAAAAAAGGCCACGTAGTGTATGATTCCACTTACATGAAATGTCCAGAATAAGCAAATCCAAAGACAGAAAGCAGATTAGTTATTGCCAGGGGTGGGAGAGGGGGAGATTGGGGAATTACGGCTTAATGGGCATGGGATTTCTTTTGCAGGTGATGAAAGTTTTCTGGCACTAGATAGTGGTAATAGTTGCACAACCTTATAAATATACTAAAAGCTGCTAAATTGTACATGTTAAAATGGTTAAAATAATGAATTTTATGTTACATGAATTTTATCTCATTTTTAAAAAGTACTAAAAGAAAACATAAGTAAATTTATAATGTTCACATAGAGCATTGTGAACGTCCTATAATAATTCCTTTAACCATTTTCTATTAGAGTGATATTCATTTTTGATCGCTCTATAGGAGACTATTATATTTTGCAAATATTTTCTCTCATTTATCTTTTCATTTGCTTTTTTTTCCTGAATAGATGTTTTTAATTTCTATGTAGTCGTTTCCTTTATGGTTTATTTCTCCTTTCTTTTCTTTTAATTTATTAAAAGAAAAAAAAGTGAGTGGGGGCTACTCTTCTTTGCGGTGCTCAGGCTTTTCATTGCGGTGGCTTCTCTTGCTGCGGAGCATGGGCTCTAGGCGCACGGGCTTCAGTAGTTGTGGCTCGCGGGCTCTAGAGCACAGGCTCAGTAGTTGTGGCGCACAGGCTTAGCTGCTCGGCAGCATGTGGGATCTCCCCGGACCAGGGCTCGAACCCGTGTCCCCTGCATTGGCAGGCGTATTCTTAACCACTGTGCCACCAGGGAAGTCCAGGAAAATGAAGTTATGAAGGTAAATCATTTTATAGGTACAAAAATGCTAGAAATAAGTTATGGTGGCCAACTAAAAGAACAATGCTTTGTTTTTTGCTTTAGCAGTCTGTGGTGACCATCACGATTTTTTAAATGGTTCTCTGTTTGAGGTTAGGGAATTGAAAGCCGAGCAAACCTTTGCTTCAAGAGCAGTATAGCCTCCACATGTCGGCAACTTCTCTCCAATTGGCCTGATCAGAAAATCTTGGGCAAATCGTGAATTCTTCAGGATAGCTGCTGTTTCTTCGTCCACTTCAACAGTTTCATCTTTCTGAAGGGTAGCATGAAAAACACATTCTTAGAGATGCCTCTTTTGTCTCAATAGAAGAAAAACACCCTGAAGTTCTACTAATGAGCAATATCTCAAGATAAAGAGACTACACCTTTTGACATAAGTATTTTCTCATGTTCAGACCCTGCTGCTAGCTTCATGCTTATTTCCACATGGAACTGACCAGTGTCGTTATCAGTTTTCCTTTGGTGACAGTGCAAAGAAAAGGGCACTCGTGGCTCCGGTGTCTAGTCTCTGCTCAGAGGCAAATGTAGAAAACCACTGCTCTCTGAGTTTCACCTTATTCATTGCTAAAATGAGGGCTTTGGACTAGTGGCTTTTAAAGTGTATTTCCTTGAGTCCCAGGGTGCCTGGGAGGGGTGTAAAGGGTCTACGCCTTGGGAACCAGGAGCGAACACAGGAGATTCTGAGCTGTCCAATCCCTGCTCCTATCAGATAAACTCTGCTTGTATCCCTTCAGATACTGGGGTTATATAAAGCAATGAAGGACACATAGTAAGTATTGGTCTTTTAACTAAAATTGTGCTGAAAGAAATAATTCTGGGGGGGTTAGAGAGTGGGCGAAATGGCTAAAGTGGATCAAAAGATACAAACTCTCAGTTATAAAATAAATAACGCATGAGGATATAATGTACAGCATAGTGACTTTAGTTAATAATAGTGTATTATATATTTGAAAGTTGCTGAGAAAGTAAACCTTAAAAGTTCTCATCACAAGAAAAAATTTGTAAATATGTATGGTAATGGACATTAACTAGACTTACTGTGGTGATCATTTTACAATACATACAAGTATTAAATCATTATGTTGTATACCTGAAACTAATATAATGTCATATGTCAATTATATCTCAATAAAAAATAATTCTGCTATTAGAAATGTTTTGAAACCCAGTAGACCAGAGTAATGATTTCAAAGGCCCTTCCCACTCTGATCCTGTGAACCTAATGAAGCAGGCAAGTGGCAGTGTATCAGTGAAAAAGCATTAATGGCTCTGCTGTACCAGGGCGTATTTTAGAAATTTGAAAATGCTATCTAGACAAAAAAATCAGATGAAGGAAACAGTAAAGTTCTTCCACCTTTGGAGCAAATAATGACTGCATCTTCTATTTACTGAGTTCCCAGTACCAATGTTTTGCTATATTATTGCTAATCTTTATAGAAATTCGGCCATGTAGGTGTTATTATCCCTACTTTTACAGTGGAGCAAATTGTATCTCAAACAATTTTGGTGGCACATTCAAGTTTACCTGAGTAATAAATAAATAACAGAGCGAGAATTTGAAACCAGGTATCTAATTCCAAAGCCTGTACGTCTCTGTTTTGAGAAAACAAAACCTACTCTAAAAAGAGTAGTGGAAATGTCAATGTCATCATTAAACACTAACAATCCTTAATTCCACAGTACAATTAAACAACTGAAATACTGTTATGCAGTCCTCTCCTATTTTTCCATCCTTTCTCTATAATTCCATTAATCTGATGTCTGAATGACGTTTCTCATAGAAAAGTTTTTTAGATGTCACAATGGTATTTGGTTATGTAGGAGAATATTTTACTCTTAGGAGATGCATGCTGAACTCTTTAAAGGTAAAATGTCATGATATCTGCAACTTACTTTTCAATGGTTCAGCAAATATGTATATACGTATATGTATATGTGTGTGTATATATATAGACCAACGCACATACACCAAGACCAGAAAAGTGAGAAGCAATGGAAGGTTAAGAAAAGGTTCCTGGAGCAAAGGGAAGAATAGGAAGAATGCTGCAAGTCACGGAAATCTTTATTTACCTTAAATGTGAAATTTGCATCAAATATTAGTTCTTTTTCGTGTCCTGTGATTCCTCCATTGTAAATAACTTGGCATCTTTTGGTTGGTCCTGTCTTAGGGAGTTTGAAAAGGCGAAATGTAGCAGAAACAAAACGGCAGTCACCTAAAAACAGAATATACTCATGGTTCATCTCCAGCACTCCAACGGCTATTGGTTTGCTCAGCAGATGAAGGCTTAATATTATAAAGACGATTTCTTCTTTGCGTGCCATCAATTATCTTTATGGGCCCATCACTCTATTTACTGAATAACTTCAAAGTGCTTTATTAAATGCCAAACTTTGGGAGATTGCCATTAAACAGGAGACAAGATGGAGATTTCCAGATGACAAAAGTCTCCTTCAATGAGACTCACTCAGGAGACACTTGATAATCACCAAATTTGAACCATTCAGGGTGCAGTTATAACAGTCCCTACTGCTGTTTCTTACCGATCATGTTTTCTAGTTCCTTGTTTTGAACTGTAATAAAATTGGCAGTGACCAAACGTGGAGGGCAGAACCCAATTTTTTGGGCAAGGATAGCAAGGTCCTTCCAGTACAAAGCACCACCCAGGCACTCACCTAAAAACAAGAAAAATCACAGATCAACCAATACAACTAGGTATTAAGGGAATTATTCTACTGTATAATTGATTAGGCTATGGTATTACTTAAAGCATAGGTTCTAGAAAAATAGAAGAAGGACCTGAGTGTCCCCCAAGGTATAGAAAGTCATGGTTGAAACCAGATATGCTAGCTAATGGTCTCTGGGAACCATTGTTCAGGACAGTCACTAATATATTGGTTCTATCAATCATAATATTCATGTATGTATTAGGTCACATTCTGAAAAGCACTCTATGTAAAAAAACATACAAGAAAAATTCCAAAACTGCCTCTTAGTTCCAGATTAATCTCATAATGATCTGCTACTAGAACAGTAATTACTATTAATGTTCATAAGGCATTTTACAGTTTTTAAATTTATTACATCAACAAATTAGAAATAATCTAAATCATCACCAATAGAGAAATGGTCAAATAAATTATGGTGCAGCTGTACAATACAGTTGTATAATACAAACATTTAAAAACTTTTTTTAAAGTTTTAGGCTTAGGAAATACGCTAAATAAAATTAGAATACTAAATTCTATATGCAGCATGCTCCCAATATTATTATACACACCCACAGGAAAAAAAAAAAAACCCTAAAAGTGTGTATACTAAGCTATTAAAAGAGGTTATTACTGGGTTATGTGCTTAGTAGTAACTTTTTTTTTTGTATTTTCCAACTTTTTTTTTTTCTTTTTTGGCTGCGCCACACGGCTGTCGGGATCTTAGTTCCCCGACCAGAAATTGAACCTGGGCCCCCTGCGGAGTCCTAACCACTGGACACCAGGGAATTCCCTATTTTCCAACTTTTTAACAATATCCATTTCTTCTTGTATAATAAGAAAAAAGTTAACATAATTTATTTTAAAAGTTAAGAACTTTTGATTTCATAACCAGACTGACCAAACACATGCATTTACCTCCTCAACGCCCAGAGACTCCATGAAAATGACAGTAAAGGAATCGACAACACAATAATGATGAGAGCACGGGGAATTAAGGAGGCATCAACTCTGGAGCAGTTGCCGTCATTTCCACACTAGAGCTTTTAAGAATTTTTCACATTCATTATCCCATTCAATCTTCATAACAGCCCTCTAAGGCAGATTGAATTATTACCTACATTTTACAGTACAGAACACACGGCTCAAAGAGATTAAATTGTCCAAGGTCATAACAGATTTGAGTGTCAGAGGAGGAACAGAACCTAAGCCTCCTGAACTAATCCCATGTTCCCACATCACAAAGCCTCATCCTGGATATTAGCAGGATGGAACTCTGTACTTGGACGAGTATCTGCCTCAAAACAAAATAAAAAACAAAAACCTACCCCTTAAAACTTTGTGTGTCCTGACTTCTTCTGGCAATTCAAGGCTAGCATAGACGTCACTGAAATACAGCTCCCCACCGTGCTGAAACAGCAGAATTAATCCAAACAAGGTTAAAGATTACATTAGTCCCAGATAGCAAAGGAATGAGGGGCTAAAATCAAGTTTTAAAAAAACCACCGAAGTTCCTGAGCTGTGACCCTTCTTGGACAAATAACTACTAGCTGCCTCCCTAGTTATGCTCATAGCCAACTGCCAAGATCTGTTTTCAGTGCCTCACTCAACAGGTAATAAAATAACTTTCCAAGCTTAACCAATCTGAAGCGAAAGTAACCTCAGGTTGTTACAGAACTAACAGAAGTAAACGGTATTCATAAACTCTTCTCCCTTAAAAATTATATAACTTTTGTAATGTTATTTATTTTTATAATAACACATTATCTTTTTAAAACATTGTCCTTAAAATCTCAGGCATATGAGTGATCAGATTTTAAGATTTTATTCAACTAATTTCAAGAGCACGGACATCTAGATTCTATAGTAATGTCTCTACCTTCTACACATACACCCTGGTGAAAACAGTGAGCTGGTCTATACAGTGGCCTACTCATTGAGACATTGTTAAATCGTTTCTACATAGATATTCTTATTTGATCTCTAAAACAGCCCTATAAACCAAGAATCTCATAATCTTCTATCTTCTGTCATGAAAAGATACATCTCATGATACATATAGAGGGTGTGGAGCTCCTGCAAGTTTTCCTTTAAGAGACTAGTTAATGGAAAAGATCCATCTTCCTTAACTTCCCAAAGATCTGGAGCCCTGATGGATACAAAATAAGGATCCCTGAGAAACACTGTCCATGCTAGGAAAGTATATTCAAAATAACCTTAGTAGTCAGTCCAAAGGTCCCCACAGCTCTGCAGATGCTATTCTAGGATTATGTACAGCAGCAAGCGGGAGGAAAAACAGCCAAGAAAGCAAATTTTAACATATTCAATCACAATCGTGACTCTCAGATTTATCACCTTTTGCAACCTAGAGGAAAACAAATTCATATCTAGGGTATTCCTGTCACTCCCACATTTTGCCACTCTTTCTAATTTAATGGAGAAATTGAGAGTTTGAGCTCTCAGCTCAAGGGTACAAAAACAGGACATATCCCATGTGCTCTCACTGATGTTCAAAGACCACTGGTCTCCCTCTTCCCCTCACCTTTAACACTCGATATACCTCCTGCAGCACTTGCTGTTTATCAGGTACAAGGTTAATGACACAATTGGATCTAAAAAAGAAGAGACAGAATGTCAAGCACATCTGCAGACTACTTAGACACCTTCAAATCCTTTGGAGATTACCTAAAGGTGGTTCCCACCATTTTCTCAAAGCTACACTATTCTTCCCACCTCCCTCCTCTCTTCCCCACACTCAACTTTGTCCCAAGATAAGGGAGATGGACAGAGTGTTTGAAATCTCAATAAACTGTTAGCAAGTTTGAGTGTGCAGAAAAAATTTTGAGGCATGCTTCTTATTTGTTTCTGCCCTGATGCTGACTGTGCAACACAATGACCTGGGACCAGATGCCTACTGCACAAGGCATTTCTTATGCCACATGTAAATAGGCTAAGTTCCTCAAAGGCAGCTTTATTAAGGCATGATTTGACAACTCAGAGGAAAAACAGCAACACAGAATCCTATAATTTGCCATGAAAATAATACTGAAGATAACATTTTGTATAAGCAGACTCGGTCTTGCTGGTCTTTTGGGCTCATTCGTAAACCACGGTTAAGTTTAAAATACATTCTCGGGACTTCCCTGGTGGTGCAGTGGTTAAGAATCCGCCTGCCAATGCAGGGGACACAGGTTCAATCCCTGGTCTGGGAAGATCCCACATGCCATGGAGCAACTGTGTGCCACAACTACTGAGCCTGTGCTCTAGAGCCTATATGCCACAACTACTGAAGCCCGAGCCCCTAGAGCCCATGCTCTGCAACAACCGAAGCCACCGCAGTGAGAAGCCAGCGCACCACAATGAAGAGTAGCCTCTGCTCGACACAACTATAGAAAGCCCATGCACAGCGACGAAGACCCAATGCACCCCCCAAAAAAAAAAATTAAAATACATTCTCTCTCAGGCTAGTGTGTTCTGTGGCTGGTGGACTACAAGGGCCCCAGACCATCTCCATCCCTTTATTAAGTTATGCTAAGTTTAGTTTAACCCCCCAAATAAGAATCCATTCAGCAAAAAGTGGTGACATTTGTGTGTTCAATAGGAAATGGGCTATCTTCACAACAGTAAGGACATAGACCTACATAACAATATCATAACTCTCATTCTTGATTCCAGCCTCTCCTAACTTCTCTATGTAGCCATGAATAAAAGTCACATTGGGTGCCTGGAAGCCATATTTTTCCATGTGATATTCAATGTACTTGTTAGCCACTTCTACCTAAAGGAAGAAAAAAAAATAGATTTGATAATCAACATTTTTTAATGCACTAATTTTTTCCTAAAGTTTCCTATTACTAATGGAATGTACTGCCCCCAGAATGTTTTAGGTACATAAATGAGGTTCATCTGGGCATGCAGGATATACTACAGAGTGGGACAACTCAATGGGGCATAAACCCCCTGTTTGATACATGGGTTTTATTTGAATAAACTCTTCACGCAATAAGAAAATCTTTCAGGATAGATGGCAGAAAGAAGGAAAAGATCAAACTCCATTCAGTCATCATGATATTCATAAATCAGATCAAACCTTTGACTCTGTTCTCCCAGAAAAGCCCCTAACTGTCAAGGTTCTCGGTTTCCAGGTCAGGAAGCAGTAATGGCACAAGCGAGCACTGCATTTAGCACCCTTCTTAAATTATCCTTGAAGAGTCACAAGGAAACAACTTTATCTCTAAAAGAATGCTTTTCAGAATTTCTTCCTCCTTGTCCTTGAAATAATTGCCTCACCTGACCTTCTGTCATGTCTATTCCGGTGACATGTCCCTTCTCACCAACCAGCTGACTAAGTGCATAGCAGTCTCGGCCACTTCCACTCCCCAGGTCCAAAATCCAGCAGTTTTCCAGACACTCAGGGATGACCAGACCACAGCCATAATATCTGGGAAATAGAAAATATATACACATTTTTTCCCTCTAGAGACCATAAGATGTGGAACCATTAAATCTTATAAATCCTTCCTCCTTCCCTCCCTCCTTTCCTTCCTTCCATCATTCATTCAATTTCTCTTTAGATGTTTAGTCTCCCTCACTACACCGGAAGCTCCATGAAGGCTGGGACTCTATCTGCTTTGTTTACCATTGAATTGATGGGCACTGTACCAGGTACTAAGACAAATAAACCAACTAAAATATTTGTTAGGCATTAACTGAGTATCTTATGCAGGTCCAGGACTTCCTAGTTATTGAAGAAGAAAGGTAAGACAAAAATTCTGTCCCTTAAGTGTATTTAACGAGGGAGATAAAACTCAAACACAGAAAACATTTTCCATGATTTATTTACAAACTGAGTGGCACAGGAAGTAAGTGTTATAGTGGTTTGGGAAAGTGGTGCCCAAGGATTAAAGAAGGCTTCACAAAGTAGGCAGGACATCAGTGAAGCGTTGGATAGGTAGGATTTGGAAGGTAGAAAGGGCGGGGGGGGCTTCCCTAGTGGCACAGTGGTTACGAATCCACCTGCCAATGCAGGGGACATGGGTTCAAGCCCTGGTCTGGGAAGATCCCACATGCCGCGGAGCAACTGAGCCCGCGTGCCACAACTACTGAAGCTCGCACACCTAGAGCCCATGCTCCGCAACAAGAGAAGCCACCGCAGTGAGAAACCCTCGCACCGCAACGAAAAGTAGCCGCCGCTGGCCACAACTAGAGAAAGCCCTCGCGTAGGGATGAAGACCCAATGCAGTCAAAAATAAGTAAATAAATTATTTTTTAAAAAAGGAAGAAAGAAAGCAGGGGGAAGGCATTCCAGATTGATAACTTCATGCCGGGCAGGCAGAAATCATCTTGGCAGTGTTGATGGCAGGAGGAAGGGAAAGGTCTGGCTACAGTAGTATAGTGCATCAGAGGGAGCCAAGGTTGGTTAGGAAGGGAGGGCCAACCTGGACAGGCTTGAATGTCAGGTCCAAGGAGTGTGAATGTATCCTGTGAGTAAAGGGGCATATGTGTGGGTCACTGGAAGTTCTTCAACAGAGCAGTAAGACGATCGATCAGTGCTGTGCTTTACCAGTTTTATAATAGATAAGGCAAGCCCCATGGATTGGAGGAGATGGGTTAATTCCCTAGCGACCTGGCATCACTATATTTTGAGAAAGATGCTGTCTGGGGTCTGCGTGGAGGCAGCACAGGGCACTTTACCTCAAGGATACTTCCTCATTTACATTCTGCAGGGCTTCCCGGATATGCTTAGGGACTGGCCTGGCCGCAGTGACACACGCATTGGTCTGGAGGTCTGCTGATTTCTTCAGCACCTGCCCGTAGTAGGTCTGACCCAGGGGCCAAGGGTGGGGTGAGGGGTGAGAAAAGAAGAGTTGGAGCTGGTGTCCTCAGGGTGGAGGCGCCCATACGCCCCACCAACCCCCCTCCAGCCCCCTCAGGCCTGGCCAGCCTTTGCTCGCTACAAAGCTCTAAGCCCGGACTTGGCCCTGCCCCACCCCAGGGATCCTGGCGGGCCAGGTCGGGCTTCCAAAGGCCTAAAGTTCCCACTCAGCTGAGGCTCCACCGCAGCCATAGGCCCTACTGCGAGCACCTGCACGTCCTTCCGGATCTCAGCGTCGCGGGTGGTGGCCACTGCCAGGAGGGAGAAAAGGCAGCTTAAAGGCGAGGGCGCTGAGCCCGCATGGGGGAAGGGAGCCCCGGGACTGAGGGGTGGTCTAGGGGCGGGCGGCAGGCGGGAGCGCAGGGGGTGGTGATGGTGGGCGGTGGGGGGAGCAGGGTTAGGGGCAGAGAGCCTGCCCTGGGGGCGGGCGGGGAGGCGAGGGCCCACACTCACTGTCTCCTCGGCCTCCGGACTTTGGAACTTGGGTCCCCAGCAGCCGCCTCTCGAGGCCCAGCGCTCCGGAGGCCCAGCGCTCCCGAGGCCCCGCCCCCGGGCAGGAACCCACCTGCGCAGTCCGACCACGAGTCCTCCCTCGCTTTCCGGCCCTAGTGTGCCCAAAGTCAGCTTGGCTGTCTTTGGTCTTTCCAACCAGGAAGAGGCTCTTACTACTAAGGATCTTCCTTTATTGCTCCACTGTGCTTTTTCATTTTATAATGCTCGTATGAACACCCACGTATATACTGATTTTTGCCCCCTTTGGGAATGAAATCACCTTTTCTCAGTCTACTTTTTAAAGTCAAGTGTATTGAGAGAGAATTTACATTCAGTAAAATTCACCTTTCTTTATAAAGTGTACAGTTCTGTGAATTCTAACAAGGTATATACATCACCGCAATCAAGACTCTCACCCAAAATGTTTCTTCCTGCCCCTTTGCATAGTAAATCTCCCCACCCCAGCTTCTAAACAACCATAGATCTGTTCTCCCTCCTTTCCCAGAATGTCATAGTGATGGAATCATATCAATGATTCCATATCAATCAATCTCAGTCTATTTTGAATTGTATTTAGGAAAGCAACTTTGCTAAGTTCATTTTTAACCTCTAGTATTTTTTTGGTCAATTCACTTGTTTTCTAAGTATTGTCATTTCATCTTGCAGAAAAAAAATTTTAATTTAATTAATTTCTACACTCCTACACTGGTATACCTTATTTCCTTTTGTGGTTATAACAAGAATTTCTATTCATTAGGATAGTAAGGCGATATGGGGTTCCAACTGAAAGGATATCTGAATGCAAGATTTACTAAAGTATACTCATTTTTCAGTCTCATCTGACGATAATAATCTTCCCAGATGTCAATTAGTTGTTGTTAAATGTTAAGAGGAAGGTGTTATATTTTTAACAAATTAAACCCATGGAAATGATCCTTTCTGGAATATTTTATAGGTTAGAATATCTCTATTAAGTGTGTAAAAATAAGTTTTTATAGATATCTGGTTTTTGGCAATTGTTTAATGGTGAAAACACTCCAAAATATTAGTTTTCAAAACACTCTCTCCATAAAATTAGTTCCTTTAGAAAAGTTGTCACTTTCTCACTCATTGTTAAAATGGTAACTTTATCTTGAAAGGACAGATTAGTGGGAGGTTAAGGAAAGGGCTCTATCATTTTCCACTTGTTCACTTGTGCTTGTTTTATTGTATTATCTTCAATTTGTGGTTATTCACAAGAATCATTTGATAAGCCTTAAATCCACTTAACCACACACAGATAAACTGCAATAAAACAAACCACCATCAACTTACATTTAGTTATTCCCAGTTTTCCCTCAAGTATCTAGTGTGCAGGGCTGATTTTGGACCAGACTGCTTGTGACCATCATTCATTCTGATTGGTCAGTGCTTCAGCCACAGAATTTTTTTGTTTTTAATATCACCCCTGCTAAATGATAGGTATGCTATGTAGGCCAAGTCAGATATCTCATATCAAGCCATATTTTAAATATTAGCAAAAAGCTAATTTTCTCTTTTTAAGATAAAAAATAAATATACACAGATATTTTCTTCCCTTACCTCAAAGGATGGCCTTGTGCATACCTCCACACATCCCACCTTGGAAGCTACTGGTCTGACAATTCCAGGATGGTCCAGAAAGGCAGATTTTTGGTTCAGTACACAAAACCATCTTTCAAGTAGAGCTTTCCAAAATGGCCACTACCACTAAGTAAAGGATTCTCCAAACATTAGAAGTATTCAAGCAGAAGCTAGATGACCAACTGGTTACTTACCAGAGATGAAGTAGCAGGGGTAAATGGATTGGATTCAATTACTTCCTTTTCTTTTTTATGATGCTAAATACTAGAAATGACAGGAAGCACCCTTGTTTCTATTTATAAGAAAAGTAACAGATAATAGCAAGCTAGACTAGTAGTCAGAAGACCTACCATCAAGTTCAGTGACCTTGGGTAAGTCATTTAATCTCCCTGGCTATGTTTTTCATCTATAAAACATGAGGCTAGAATTTAATCACTTGTGAGGCCCCATACAGCTCTAATATTCTGGGGTTCTATTATTCTTTCTTCTAAAACATACTTTTAGAGAGACTTTTTTTTTAAGTTTAATTAGAAATAGACATTGAACTTTTTCAGATGCTTTTTTGGTGTATATTACAGTGATGTAATATTTCTCTATTCAATTTTCTGAGATTTTATTAGGATTTTTGCATCTATGTTCATAAATAAGAATCTCCTAAATGTCTTTATATTATCTTGCTTTTTATTTTTTTTAATGAAAATTACATGTACTTCAGCAAAGGAACTGGGTATCTTGCTATCATCTTCTATACTTTGGGAGTATATGGAAATGATTTGTTATTTGATACTTTGGAAAAGTCTCAGGACAGCCATCACAAGCAGATGACATTTTAATTGGTTATTTCTGACAATTTATGGATTATTTCTCATAACCAGTCTGGACATATTCTCTTTTAAATGTCAGTTTTATCATATTATATCATTATAAGGAGCCAGATATTTTGATACTAGTAATTAAATTTTTAGCATCAAGCTGACAGATCTCTCTTTTCAAATCTAATTGATTTATTTTATATATCTCCTATTCAATTATAAATGTACTAATTTGTACTTTTACGATTGAGCTGACATTTTACGAATTTAATCTGTAAGAACCAATTAATGGTTTCATATATTTTTCTAATTTTTGTCATTCATGCTTGGTTTTCTTATTCCACTTTGATTTCTTTTGTTCTTTTTCTAAATTCTAACCACAAACTCCTTAAAAAAAAAAAAAGAAAACATTTACTTACGCCTTATCCCTAATACAGATATTTAATGCATGATTTTTTTCTTTATAGTACTGCTTGGGTATCATCACATAAATTTGCTTGCATAGATTTGAATTTTCATTATTTTGAAATTATCCTCCAACATATCCTCTACAACACAGATGTTATTTTAGAGAAGTATCTTTTGTCTCCATATTAACCTATTTCTATAAGAAACAAACTATCAAAGTATGTATACATTTCTGCCTGCTCTCACATTTCTGTCTACTTTTCTTTCATGTATTTTGGCATTATGTTCTTTAAAATGACTAAATCAGTACTACTAGGTTTTCATTATTTAATGTAAATTTCATCTTTATTTACCATTCAAATTTTGATTGTGAAATTTATTTTATCAGATATAACATAAGCAGTCACTGCTTCTTTAATATTTGTTCCAGCATGAGGAAGAAAACATAGACCATAGTTTAATTGTTTTTCATCTTAAATATTTCTTTGCTTTGTGTATACTTGGATGGTTAAACTTTGTTTTGTTTTCTAAACTGGTGACTTTTTAAAAAAATCAGTCCTTGGATTTTCTAAGTAGATAATCCTACTGTATGATAACAATTTTGTCTCTTCCTTGCTAATAGTTACATTTAATTTTAATTTCTGCACCAGGTGTGGCTTCCAGCAAAATGTTGAATAGAATCTGTGATAGTAACATCAAATGTTTTACTACTAATATGACAATTGCTGTAAGTTTGCAAGCCTTCTTTTTAAGGTAAATTGAGCCTGTTTATATTTAATAATTGTAATAAACATTTATAGAATGAATGTATAAGTGAATTCCTTCATACTGTTTTTTTACTTTAAGTTAATGTATATATATATAAAATGAGGAACAAGTGTAATCTGATATGATTAGTCAACTTGATGATATAGAATATGAATTAAATTGGACTCATATCTGCTTTTTTTCTTTCGGTAAAAACACCATTTTCTTATGTCAGCTTTCTCCCAATACCTTAGTGAATTAAGAACTGAGCTAAAACAGGTTGGAAGTCCCATTTTAAATTCAAATAAAGCATACACATTCAGACTTGACAACAGACAACGGTAATGACATTTAATGAGATAAATTCAATGAACATAGGTAAATGTCAATAAACGTAAGGTTTTCTACATGGCACAACCCTATACCGGAATCACAGTAACTCAACTGCATTCTCACTTGACAATAATGTCATACAAGTGAATTTGCTGATGACTAGCAAAATTACAAAATGAACCCAAGGCCAGTTAATCAAGAGTCACAACAACAAAGAAACCCTAGGAATGAAGGTCAAGGCAGGAGGTTGCAGCTGGCCAGATATGATACCATTTGCCTAATTTTCATGTAGGAATTTGCTACAACAAATAAAATAACTATCTCCTCTTAGTTACTAGAAAAGAAAAGAAAACAACAGGTATTACCTAATCACCATTCTGTGACCATGAAATTAAAATATTTCCTGAATGTATGATTAAAAGAAAAAAGTCTTTAAAAACAATATTAATCATTCTTATACATTCACAATAGAAGCTCTTAAGTCTGAATTTAAAACACTACTCAGTATTTGCTTAAGAAACACATTTAGACAATATGGCTTTTGACATATTAAAGTTCTACGAGAAAAACTAAGACATCTTTTAATTTTGCTTTAATATCAAATTAACAGAGCAACTTAAAAATTCAATAAGAGCATGGGTTGGTTTGATTCAATAAGTGCTTTCAAAATTCAATCACTTAGGGGCTTCCCTGGTGGCGCAGTGGTTGAGAGTCCGCCTGCCGATTCAGGGGACACGGGTTCGTGCCCCGGACCAGGAAGATCCCACATGCCGCGGAGCAGCTAGGCCCGTGAGCCATGGCCGCTGAGCCTGCGCGTCTGGAGCCTGTGCTCCACAACAGGAGAGGCCACAACAGTGAGAGGCCCGCGTACCGCAAAAAAAAAATTCAATCACTTAACTTCCTTTCAGGAGAAACTGTTCATCATCACGGATCTTATTCTAACTTAACTTTTGGAGAAGAAAATGGAAAATCAAACCCATAGCACAGTGGTTATGTAAGATATTTCCTCCTCAGTGTCAGGCAAAGTGCTTTTGCCCTCTCATAACACGTTCTACTTCAACAGATGATTTAATTGGTCCTGTAGATTTGATGACTGCTCAACACTACAAATTAGAATAGAAAAAGGTTTATCTAGAATGAGCATCTCATTGTCATAGCAACCCTCTCTATGCAATAGAACTTTCTTTTGGCTTTAAATGTGGGGGCTATTGATGGGGTCAGATCCATGGTTGGATGCAGAGATAGGGGTATTCCTCTACATTCTTTGTATGCAATGGTTTCCTGTCCCTGCAAGTCCAATTTCATATGTTCTCCCTAGAAAAAATGGAGGACTACATACTGAAAAAATAAAAAAATGTGATCAATGTTAAAAAAAAAAAAAGACATCTCATTGTGCAAATAATTTGCACAAAGTATATTATATGCATAGT